ACAAAGAGGCTTCAGAAAACATTGTGGACTGGTTTTCCAGCTAAGCAAATCAAGCTTGCTCCATGCAGAGCTTGGACCAGGCATAGACAGAACTCAGTTGCCTAGAAAAAAGGCTGTTCCGTGTGAAACTCGAGCTTGTACCGCTGAATAAATGTGTAGCTAATGAGGCAGCAACTGTGAGAAGAAAAAGGAAACTCTCATCTTTAAGAACCCTTGGAGAACCACATCCTACCCCTGCCAGCCCAGAGCTCCAGTGCAACACTGGATGAATCAGGTAAGATGAATCCTTCAGAGGTGGCTGCTAATTCCAGGTTCATTTTTCCAGTCCTGCACCTGAGACACCAGAACTCCCACGTGCACATATGTCAAGGGCCCGCTGCTTTAATCGCTTTAACTTCTGGAATAATTAAACACTTTTCCACTTGTCAGAGGGGGAAGGGGTAGAATTAAACAAACAAACTAAGCCTGAAAACTACGAACCATCCAAGGTCAGGCTACACTGGGCAATTTCTGCCTTGTTTTCCTGTGCCACAGCAGGACAGAGCTCTGCCCCCAGTCCCACTGCAGTGCTGGGATGGGAGCCCATGGGCAGAAAGAAGCACGAAGGGATCCCATGGAGAGAAGGATTTGGAATTCAGAGCAGGATTGGAGGCTCTGCAGCAAACAATGCACACAGTGACTGAGGAGGATGAAAGGAAACATGGAATAACACTGCCCTGTGGCACAGGATGATGCAATGACAGGCTGTATCCTCTGCCCAAGGAGCAGAATTAGGATGGCCAAATTGGTTTGGTTTATTGTTGGGAGGTTGTGTTTGGCCTTTTCAATGGGAAGATAAAAAATGGCTGAGTTTTAACCCCTTCATTCCATGAAGACAAAGTGCAGGGTGAAGATGCAGCCTTTAAAGGAAAGGCCACACTGCAGCATGAACAGGCATAGATGAAATCCTAATCTCCCCACTGCTGAGGAAGTTTCTAGGACTTGGAGCTCAGCTCCAGACCTCCCCCTTGGGTCTCTGTGAACAGCCACAATGTCCCCAGCAGATGCCAAGTCCTTTGCTGCACTCACCCCTCACTCTCTCCTCTCACAAGCCCATTCCAGGTTCAGCTATGTGCTTTCAAAGGGGAAAATTCATCAGCCACCAGTCACACCCAGCCACAAGGACAGGGCAGATGCCTCTGTTGGCAGCAGCTCTTTGGGCCTCCTGCTCTGAGCCGTGCCCATGGCCAGGGATGCTCTGAGCTGGAGCTGGTGAGGGACCATGAGCAAGAGAGACATTAATTGAGGGGTTTGTGAGCCAGACAGAGGTTCTCAGCCCACCTGTCGTGGCTCACTCAGACAGAAAGCAGAGATCATTCATGCCACTGAGCACAACTTTCCCCTCACTATAATCCTGTGTCAGGGGAACTAAGTGATGTGACAAACTAGGACAGGAGGTCTCAAGCTGCATCTTGATCGCAGCGTGTGAGGGCACCCTGCAAGTTCCAGCTGCACAGGGTACCCCCAGCAACCCCCAGACACAAAGGAAAGCAGGTTACACACACTACTTTGTCCATAAAGGCTTCTGCAAATCAGCATTCAGTGCAATTGCTTACAGGACAGGAAAGCATCAGCCCTGCCCACCAACTGCTGCCTTCAACACCAAATCAGTTAGTGGATGTGCTGCTCTTGCAGGGAACTCTGTGTAAGAGTTAAAGCTGGGAGTCAGCTCAAAGGGAAGCTGATGAGCAAAGACAGCAGGATGTAACTGGCAAGCAGCTAGCAAAGAGGTATTAGTGGTTCTGCTGTAACCAGACTGCACTCCAGAGCCTTCTCTACACCCGCAAAAAGGCAATTTTGTGGCCAGGAGTACCACCAGGCACCTCCTCTGCCCCAGGCTCTGCTTTGGCACTCTGATCCTGGGCTTGAGGTTGCCTTCACAGCTTTCACTATCCCCACAGTCAGCACAGAAGGACCTGAGCCCACTTGTGCTGTGTAGGAGGCAGGTGGAAGTGCCAGCTGAGGTTTGCCCATCACTTGGCAAACCCTGCACACACACACATCCCTCCTCACCCCCAGCTTTCCTTACTCCAGGTTTTACCCTCTTCTCCGAGGTGCTGAGGAATCCCTCTGCTGCTGCCTCCAAGAAGTCTAGGATGGGGCTGAGCTGTGTCAGGCTCTGGAGGCTCCTCCCTGCAGCCCAGCAAGCGAGCGGTCAGCGTCTCTGCCTCGGCTCTGCTCTCTGGGGGGACAAGGATTCAGAAACACAAGAGAAGAAACAAGTCAGTCTGAAGGAACTGACAGGCTCCTGAAGCGAAGGAGACTCTGTGAAAGATCTAAGTGAATAGCAAAGCTCATCCCAAGCACAAGCAGCAGAGGAAAACCACTTTACTATTCTCTTTAAACTCTATGAAAGGAAAACGTCTCATTTATCTAAGAGAGCACAAAGCCATAAAGCAAGCTGGAGGTTAACACCAGGTTTGCAAGGCCACTGCTTTGTGTCAGACTCGAGTAAGAAAGGAGCTTTCAATCCCGAGGCTCAGCTGTGCTCTGCCCCACGCTGGCTGCCAGCCATCGATCCAGCCCTCGGGGCAGCGATGGGGACAGCCCTGCATTGCAGGCACAAATGCTCCAGGATCTTGGCCAGCACACAATAAACCTCCTGTATCCAAGGATCCAAGCTTTCTCTGCTTTGCCCACTCATCCTGCCAGAGGTTTCACCTTACTTCTTACCTGTTTGCTGTGGGGTTTCTCCACTGCTCTGTTCCCACTCCGGCAAAGCTGCACTCAGCTTGGGATTCGTGTCTTGGAAGAGCTTCAGAAAGGACTTGAGGGTCTGAGTGTCCAGGGGTTGAGCACCCTGGCTGTGACTATCCTGAGGCTGTGCATCCTGGGGCTGAGCATCCTTCACTTTGCTCAGCAGCTTCTTGAACACTGCCTGTTCCCCTGCCTCAGCCAGACAGGCAGCCAGAGCCTACAGCAGAACAGACATGCAGGAAGGTTTAGATAACAGCATTAACTGCCCTAGACAAAAGGACACAAAAAGCAGAATCCTGAGGTTTTGTTCAGGGGACAAAAAATAACCAGACACACAGCACTGAACTCAAGTTCTGGCCTGCAGCCACCAGCCCTAGAAAGGAGGGCAGCAAACCCTGCTGCCAGCCCTTATCTCTACAGCAAATCCCACAGACTGAAGCTGGTTCCAGCACCAAACATCTCTTCATGTCTTCCCCAATCAGCCCAAGGCCAGTAAATGTAAGAGACCTGATAAGCCATGGATTAACACCTGCTACTTTGGAAGGCTAGGGCAGGGGATAGTGGATCCAACTGCAGAACAAGGAGGGCTCACTTGCACAGAAAGCAGAGAGCATTTCAAGTGGGACTTTCAGCAATCTCCATCCTCAATCACAATCAGAGAATCAGAGAATTTTAGTGGTGGGAATGGAGCTCAGAGATGATCCAGCCCCAACCCCCTGCCCCGGGCAGGGACACCTCCCACCAGAGCAGGTTGCTCAAGGCTTTAGCCAACCTGGCTGTGAACACTGCCAGGGTTGGGGCAGCCACAGCCTCCCTGGGCAACCTGGGACAGCGTCTCACCACCCTCACAGGGAAAACTTCTGCCTAATATCTAGCCTAAATTTCCCCTCCTTCAATTTGAATCAGTTACCACTTGTCCTGTCCCTGCAGCTACTAACCAAAAGTCCCTCTGCAGCTTCTCTGGAGCCCCTTCAGCTCCTGGCAGTTGCTCTGAGGTCTCCACACAACCTTCTCTTCTCCAGAAAGAGAAGGAACAATGGAGTTTTGCCTCCTAGAGAGAGCTCTGGAGAGGATACACACACACACACACACACTGAGTGCTGTGGGCTCTCAGCATACCTAGCAATCAAACCCACAGCTCCAAAATCTACTCCAGTGACCTGCAACAGCAACCAGAGGCAAACATGCCTATGCAGTATGGAAATAAAAGGCAAAGATAGAAGCTGGAACTCTTGCTCCCATTTCCCCAGAGGCCTTTCATGCTGCCCCTGAAGACACACACTCCCCAGCTCTCCAGGAGAGGTGCAGCCTTCAGGAGCAGACAGACTTTAGTGGGGACTCCAGGGATGCTATAAAGGTACCTTTGAAGTGGGGAGCTCAGCCCTGCTCCAGGGAGCAGAGCCATTTCTTGCTGTCATTGTCATTTTTATCCCAATGATAAAAAGACTGAATGCAACTGCTCAGGGCCTCACTTGGGGGGGTGTTGGACTAGCTTCTCCTAGCAGGTGTAAATGCTGACAGATTAGGGCAGCCTGGCAGTGCAGTGACCTACTGCAGAGAGTATCCACAGAGGAGGAGCTGCACAGTCCCAGCTCTTGCCGCTCACGGCAGTTTTGCTGCTGAACAGAGAGTGTGGACATGAAGGGCTGTGCTAGAAAGAAGAAAGGAAATGCCTCAGACGTGCTGGAGAACAAACTTAAAGGTGTTTTTTGGTGTTTTTTGGTGTTTTTTTTTAAAATGCAAACATTAATTTGTAATGAGACTTGATAACCAGATCATGTTTGTTCTCTAGGTTTGCATGCCTGGCCCTTTCCACATCAAAATGAGGCTGTAAACTAGCAAAACAGCTCCACTCTCACCAGCCTGAAGGTGCTCAGATCCTGCCAAATACATGTTTGCACTAATAGGGATGAAAAGCGACTTGCATTGTTGCAATATACTTTTTTAATTTGGGGGTTTGAAATCAAAAGCAGCACAGCATTGTTACCCAGAGCCCCAGGTAACTTCCCTTCCTCAGTGCATGGATTTGGCTAATGGAAATGAATTTTCAGAGGCTGAAAGGCTCTACTATTTATAGGCTCTTTCCAGAAGACTTTTTCCTGGACATGCAGCTCAGTGGGAACAACAGCCTTTTAGCATTGTTGTGAAAGAGCACACAGTGCATTTCAGACTTACTTTGAAGCATTAACAATTCCCAAAGATCCTGGGAAAAAAATGGAGAAATACTGATATTAGCTGGAACCACAACTTCCACTTAGCTAGAATGTGCTCCTAGTGCCTGGGACACTGCAAATCCCTTCATGGACAAACTGGCACAAACTACACACGTTCAGCTTCCAGCTGGGAGCAAGGGATGTGCAGGGAAACTGAGTCACCAAGACCTTGATTAAGCTTGAGCTGTGCCACCAAACTGGTCCATGCCAGCTAAGAAGTGTGGTCCCAGTTGAGGATGTCAGTTCTGGTGGCCACAACACTCCCAATTCTCCCCTCTTTCAATTTCTCCCCATTCCCCCTTGTTCTGTCCCTGCAGCTCCTAACCCAGAGTCCCTCTGCAGCTTCCCTGGAGCCCCTTCAGCTCCTGGCAGGTTGCTCTGAGGTCTCCACACAACCTTCTACTTGTACACAAGTACACCAGAAGAGGGGAAAAAAAAAAAAGGTTCTCTGGCTCTGTCACCATGAAAAAAACACCCCAAACCCCTCACAAACTCTCAGTCCTAATCAGGATGCAGAATACAACAGGAAACTTCTTTCTCCTGCCGCAGCCAGAAATTCCTGCAGCTGCAAATGAAGGACAACAGCAAGTGGACAGGCCCAGAGGCTATGGAAATGATCCACAAGCACAGTGACATTTATTCTACGTGGGAGAAGCAATGCTCCCCCAATTCATCTGAGCCCAGGAGTAGAGGGAACAAATGAGCTGTGCAATAATTTGAATTGAGTTTCTCTAAGAGAGCACAGGAAGATAAGACTTGACACCAGCAAAGCTCTTCTGCGCTTTCCCCAAATTACTGCAATTTCAGGCTTGTTCTCATTTCCAAGCAGGTTTCAGCCAAGCCAGAACCAAATTAGATAGGAATAGTTTATGTGAGATATACAGAGAAACTCTTAAAACAAAAACAACCCCAAAAATCACATCTCCCTAAACTGAAAAGCAATTCATCTGCATTTTTCAGTCTGGGGCACAGCACAGAACATCACACTTGGAGAGAAGCAATAGCTCTCACAAAAGCCAGGCCTGCACCATAAACCTCCCTGGGGAAAAGCCCCACAACCAAAGGAGTCTCCACTGGAGGTAGGAGGAATAGGACCAGTGGAGGGAGCAGACAGGAGTGCTGCAGGAACCACCATGCAGGGATGAGCTCACCAGCAAAGGAAGAGAAATAGAGGCTACATCCAAGGCCATATCCCACTGAAAGCAGAAGAGCCTGACCACCAGGACAGCCTTGGGGCCAACAGACAGGCTTGAAATCCCTCCCTGAACCACTCTGCTCCAGGCTTGACTGCTCAAAGCACATCACTGCTTGCCTCGGGGGATCAGCCACCCTCAAAAGGCTCTGGAGCAGAAGGATGTGCCCGAGGGATGGGGATCTCCCCTGCAGCAGGGCAAGCACCCCCAGCAGGAACGCTTTCTGCAAAGAAACAGCCTCACTGGCCTCCAGACCCACTTTTACTTGCCCTGAGGCAGCCAAGACTTCAAGTAAATGACTAGGAAAAGAATACAAAGAAAGGGAGGTGGGGGGAAAAAAGGAGAGAGAAAAAAGATCCATTGACATCTACCACAGGCACAACCTCAGCCTTGATTACACCTGAGCTTGGCTTTAAAGACACACCACTGTGTTTCCCTCCCGCAAAGGAAACACCAAGGCCTTGTGGGAAAAAGCTGCTCCATGTCCTGGAAACACAGCCCAGACCTTGCTGGTGCCCACAGGTCCTGCTGGTCCCAGAGGGGAGCTCAGGGAGGCACAGATCTGGCTGAGCCCTTGCTTACAACAAGCTGCAGCCTGTTCCCCCCACTGCCCTGGGGCTGACACTTTTCATGCTTGTCACAGCTGAGAAGTGATTTTTCAGGAAAGGCTTAAAGAAAATCCATTTCTCATTTATTCAGCGTTTATTTATAGCTGCAGAAAAATTGTCCAGTTACTGCTCTGCACTCAGACACCCAAACTGGCTCTGAGCTTCACAACCTCTCGCTTGGCTCCTGCTGCAGCAGCTCATTTGGGAGCACAAAGGGCTGGGAATGGGTCTGTAAACGGGGCTGAAAACCTTCCCTGCTGGGTCTGGGAGGTGCCGAAGGAGCATCACACAGCAGTGACTGCAAAGCAATAGCCAACAGGGCACTGTGCAGCACAGAGCTCTGCAGCTCACCCCCCTGAGCACTGCCAGCACAGCTCTGCCCTGCCATGGCACAGGCAGCACGGGGAGGGATGTGATGAGCACTGTCTGCTGGCACAGGGGCATGGAGCTGCCAAACCCCTCCTTGGCAGTGCCCACTCCCACTGCACAGCACCCTCCCAGCTCTGCTCCCATGGTCAGGGTGCAGAACAGGTAAAACCTTAAATCTCACTTATTAATCTGATCAGAGCAACAAATAAATGCACAAAAAACCCAAGTCCTTCTCTGAGTAAGGCACTCAAAGGTCCTTGTCAGCACAGCCAGGCTTGGGCTCACTGCTCCAAACATGAATTAGGACCCAACTGTCTCCCTCCTAATGCCCCAGAGGTGTCAGGTTCAACACCATCAGGAGAGTCAGCAGCCAAGGGAACACAGGTTTCCCTCTGTGAACACAGAAAGGCTCAGCAGAAGACAATCCTGAATTTCCCAGCTCCAGGAAATCCTCCTCCCTGCTGTCTTTTGGGATTTCTTTTTTCCTAATAAACATAGTGCCTTGGGCTTTTAACAGAAGAATGTCACCAAGGGCAAAATGTCCCATGGCCTGTGGTCACACTGCTGCAGGAACTGCCCAGAGCAGCACAGGAACCCAGAGAGCATCCCAGTCTGAGAGCAGCACTGCTCAGCTTCCAAAGGCTGCATGACCATGGAAGAGCCAGCAGGGAAACAGTCACACTCTCATTTTCCCCTCCAAAAGGGCACACAGGGCAGTTCCTGCAGCCTGGTATGAAAGATGCTGTACCAGAAACAGCCTGGATGAGGACAGCAAGCACAGTCCATCCTCACTCACACTGACCCTGTGACTGTCTGTGTCCTCCTCCTCCACTGCCACACCAACAGACAGGAATAGTTTATGTGAGGCATACAGAAAAACTCTAAAAGAAAAACAACCCCAAAAATCATATTTCCCTAAACTGAAAAGCAATTCACCTGCATTTTTCAGCCTGGGGCACAGCACAGAACATCACACTTGGAGAGAAGCAATAGCTCTCACAAAAGCCAAGCCTGTACCACAAACTTCCCTGGGGAAAAGCCCCAAAACCAAAGTAGTTTCCACTGGAGGTAGGAGGAACAGGACCAGGGAAGGAGCAGACAGGAGTGCTGCAGGAACACGGCACCATACAGGGATGAGCAAAGGAAGAGAAATAGAGGCTACATCCAAGGCCAAATCCCACCGAAAGCAGAAGAGCCTGACCACCAGGACAGCCTTGGGGCCAACAGACAGGCTTGCAAACCCCCCTGAACCACACTGACCAGGCTTGGCTGTTTCTGTGATGGCTCTGAGCTGGGACAAGGACTGGCACATGGCTAGCACTGCTCAGAGCATCCTTCAGCATGAAGTGACACCAGACTGGGCATCCCCTACAGCAGGAACGAGCAGCACTCCCAGCTCTAACTGCTCTCAAAGGAGCACACTGCCAGGAGAAGCACAAACTGGGGGCACCAGTCCCCCCCTTGTCTCCTCCTGTCCCAATCCCCCCAGCAGCTCTGCCACCCACAGAGCACAGCAGATGCTCCACAGCAAACCAGCACTGAGGGCTTGGGAAAGCTATTTTGGGATCTCATATGTCACTCGTTTACAAGTCGTTACAGTTCCCGTGCAAATGCCATAAACAGGAGGAGAGAAATCCGTGCTGGAGCTCTCCTGCAACACAAGGATGTCTTCAGGGCAGGACACACTTCTCTACCTGTGTGCAGGAGCAGCTTGCACTTAACAGATGCTTCTCTCCAGGGTGTTTCTCAGGTGAGCACATGTTGCCCTTCAAAGGCATCAGTTTCCCATGAAACAATTTCCTCAACAAGGCACAAACTATTCTAGCCCTCAGCAGGGTGAAGGAAAAACTTGTATGACTTAGGGAAATAAACACACCTACCTCCTTTTGAGGGGCACCAACTCCTCTGCTCTCCTCGAGTCTTTCCAGCACAGCCTGGGCATCAGAGAAAACACTTTCATATCGAAGAAAGAAATCCAGTGTACAGCTTTTGCTCTCTGCTGCTGTGAGAGAGAAACAAGATGAGTTATTTGCTAATTGAAGGGATTCACAGAAAGCAGGATGTGATTGAAAGGCATCAGTTTGTAACCAGCACATGGGCTATAATAAGAAAACTGTGACTTACAAATCCCTTCTGAAGATATCACACAGCCTGGAGGGAAAACCAACAGTTTATTTAACACCAGTTATAAATGGAACATTTATTTTAAACCCAGTACAGCCTCTGTTTTCCTCCCATGCTGAACGGGAGTTTAAAGGATAAGGTAACATTAGCAGGCAACTCTGTTCACTTGCTGTTAGACAGATTGTCTGATCAGCCTCGTGTCCTGCACAAACACAGATCCCACTCACAGCAGATGCAATCACATGCCTGGGCAAGGGAAGTTTTGCTCACTACAGCTCTGTGCTGAATGTGAAGCAACTGCAAAGGCCAAAGGAAGAAAATCCCTGCAGAACAGAGGGATATGTTGGTGCTATTCCCAGTCCAGGACAAGCTAAAAAAGATGAGACACAGAGGCAAAGATCCCCTAGACCAGGAAAATGGGAGTCAATGAGTTGCAAATAAAAGCAATGCTGTGCCCAGTGAAGTCTCACCTGAATCCCTTGATTGCCCTTTTCCCTCAGGAGGCTCAGCAAGCCACTCTGCTCAGCATGGACAGGCTGGGCAGGGCCAGGGCCTGAATCCTCCTGGAGGGACCTGGAGTCACTCAGTATCACCTCCTGGTGAAGCCAGGTGTGACTCACGGCGAGTTCCTGGCCAGAAGGAGAAACATCTGCTTCCATTTCTGCTTCTACAGGGCCAGGAAAAGAGGAAACTCTTTGAGTGAGGAGAATATCTGGTTTTCCTTCATCAGGTTTTCCAGACTGGGGCAGGCTATTAGCTTCAGTCTGGTTTCCAGATGAGTGTGCTGCTCGACTGGAGACTTCTCTCACTACCTGGTCCTGAGTAGAGCAGCTTATGAGGTCCCTGAGGAGGATTTTGCAACTAACAGCCACATCAAACAGCTGCAGACTGTCTGCCACAGAGATAACTTTGGTGAAATTGTGTTTCCCCAGGGGGAGTTTGCCACTGTACATCATCTCCAGGAAGAGTGCAAACTCCTCAGGCGTCACCACGGAAGCATCGATGGTGTCTGTGCTGTCCAGGAGGGATTTAAACAGCAGGCTGGCAGCTGCCAGGACCACCTTGTGTGCTCTGAAAGGCACATTCCCAATGAAGATGGTGCAGTCACACAAGTGCTGCTCCCTGCACAGAGCATACAGCTGGGGCAGCAGCTGCTGGCTGTAGCGAGGGAGCTCCATGGCACCTCCTGCCCTGCTCTCTCCGTGGTCTCCACTGCTTCCACAAGGCTCAGTTGGGGAAGGAAAAGTGGATCCTGTTAGCATTTGGCTCAGGTAGCAGCAAGGCAGAAAGAAAGAGTAAGCAAAAATTACTTTGTAGTTTATACCTCCTAGTAGTTTACTGTGCTGCAGTTCAGGGGTTTCATAGATTTATAGATTGCTAAGCGGTTGGAATGGAGCTCAGAGATGATCCAGCCCCAACCCCCTGCCCTGGGCAGGGACACCTCCCAGCAGAGCAGGTTGCTCAAGGCTTTAGCCAACCTGGCTGTGAACACTGCCAGGGTTGGGGCAGCCACAGCCTCCCTGGGCAACCTGGGACAGTGTCTCACCACCCCCACAGGGAAAACTTCTGCCTGAGATCTAATCTAAATCTCCCTCTTTCAATTTCTCCCTATTACTCCTTGTCCTATCACTGCAGTTCCTAACTAGTCCTAAAGAGTCCATCTGCATCTTCCCTGAAGCCCCTTCAGCTCCTGGCAGGTTGCTCTGAGGTCTCCACACAACCCTCTCTTCTCTGGGTTACAGCCAGAGGTTCCATTCTGAACTCACACTCCCCAAATTCAGTAACTTACCCTGAGAGCTGAAGAGTCTAGAGAGTGTTCAAACCTAAATGAGCAGATTTGGGCTGAGTCTGAGTCCCAAGGGCTACAAAAAGGGAGCAGAGTCCCCTGATGTGCCAAACAGCTCAGGGAGGTGTGAGCTGAGGCACTGCAGTGCCAGGCTGTGCCTGCAGCCAGGGGCTGGAGCTGATGCTGCACTCAGCAGTTGGTTTCTGCAAGGGCAGGTAGGGAAGCAGGGCAGGATCACCTGTTCAGACCATCTACCAAACACAGAAAATCTGAGGTGTTGGCTTTGACCTGCAAAGGACTAAGTGGTTGAGACCAGTTCACTTTCTCCCCACATCACTGCTAAGATGAGCAGGGCCACAGGAACATTAGAAACAGAGGTCTGTTGTAGCCCAGGGCCTGCAGCATGCCCTTCTCAGCACACCATGGCCCTAACTCATTGATTTAGGAGTCTTTTCCTCCAAGCTGTGTTTTTCTGCACAAGTCCAGAGCCCTAATCCCACCTACCAGAGCCTCCCTTTTACCTCCCCCCTCCCTGCCCTGTTGCAGGAGGGAGAACAGATAGGACATCTGCCAACAGGATTTTTATCAGCAGGATACCTGGAGTTTTTGTCTAAGCTAGACAAGATAAAGATGTTACTGCCTTGTCCACACTCCAGGATGCCTAACACTGGTGCAGGCCACAAAACAGCATGAGCACTAGAGAAAGAGCACCTGGATGGACATGATTTACACGACCTTCAACACTTAACATCTTTGCACTCAGCTTTGTGCTCTCTTGTAGAGAGCAGCATTACCCATCACCAGGGCACGAGCTTTGACAAGCCAATGCACACACACCACCTCGAAGCACAGAGGCAGGCTCAGAGCAACTCCCAGCTTGCACCAAACTGCAAGTCAGAAGCAGATGTTGTGTGCAGGCTCTTGCTCCTCCAAGGCACCAACCCCTCTGGAGCTGTGGGCAGCAGGACCCATGGGCAGGCAGGACCCCATTTGTCCTTCTGCAGGGCACTGCCTGCAGTGGCTGTGAGAAGACAGGAGAAGCCAAGAGACTTCATCTCATCCCAGAGCTACAGATGGCTAAGCAACTGGTTGGTGGATCCCAGACATGCAGGAGAGCTCTCCTGCATAGCCAAGAGCCCCCCCAGGCTTTAAAGATGAAGTGCTATGGAACTTGTTTTTCCATCACCAGGAGCAGATCACAGATGGTTTTGATATCACCTCAAAGCAGAGGTGTCACACTCCCCATCTCAGTACCTCTGAAGAGAGAGCACAGGGTGAGTGGGTCCTTCCCTGGAAGGCAGAAGACCTGAGTGGGCTGATAGCCCATCCTCCTGCAGCCCAGAGCTTCTCCAGGCACATCACTACCAAGAGCTGCTCTGCAGCTCAGCACTGCAACCCCAGACCCCTGCACAGGGCCAACCACCTGCACTCCCAGCCTGTCCAACACTCTCCTCCCACACTGTTGGAAATCACAAGGAACCAAACTGCCATCAGCAGAGTCTCTGCTGGTCGTGGGAGAAGAGACAGACCTGATTCTTTTGCCAGGCACAGTGTAATAGCAGTTTTATTCCACCCACTCT